ATATGGCCACTTTTGTAACTTGAACATGATGAAAGCCAGCATCTCGCGAGCTCCTGTCTAAAGAGTGACTGCCAGCAGCGCCTACCTGCAGATCCGCTCCTTGCAGTCTGCAATCCATGTACTTTTCCCACGCATATGACAAATCAGTCTGCTGCAGACTGGCCATTTCGTCCCACGCCTCCAGCTACAACGGCGGTCAGGGCGTCGAGGAAGTCAGGAATGACAAAATCCCTCTTCTGGTGTCCTCCCTGATCCTCCAGGAGACTGAGAGAGCCCCGGACAGCAGCCAACGAAGCCCCAAACGACGTCCTGAGTCATTCATAGCAGACGCATGATCTGCTGCCCTGCTTCGCCACTTTTAAACTGTGCTCCTGCAGAAAGATACAACGTGTCATGTGTTAGTTAGCATAACGCAGTCAGCTGACAAAGTCGCTTTCGCAGTCTGAGATACTGACAGTTGTTTGAGGAGCACTTTAACCTGACTTGAACCGGAAGCTTCACGACGAGCCTGACACACTGTAGCATAACCAAAACATTACGCTCAGCTAGCAGGCTAGCTAGGTGGATAGGGCTAACCTGCGTCAAATATTCAAGCGGGTTGAAGCAGTCCATTTCCGGTGTGAGATTTAGTTTTCAAAATAAAAGCATCTAACGTGCTCCAGTAGCCTGTTCATACTAAAGATTATAATCTCACTTGAACAACATTAAAACATGAGACGATTAATGCATTCAAAAAATTAGTCTTAAGTCTACACTTAAGTAGAGAGCCAAGTGTGTTTTTCTTATATTAATACGATATAGATTTTAATAGATTTCAGAAAGTTGTATTTAAAAAGGTGTTAAGAATTCATTACAATACAAGACCATTTTCTTTGCATAATTACAAACAACAACAACATTGTAAATACAGCTAAAGCATACTATGCATATGCATGATACAGTAAAGCCTTCACTCCCATAATTCAAAATGTTAAAACAGTAGTGAGGTGATTCCCACCATATCACACCTCTGCACTTTGCAATTTCTTAAAATTATTGACCCAAAAGAGCTATACCGCTTTTGTATGCCACTTTTTTTTAACACATTTATCTTTTTCTGCTCTAAAGTGACTTTGCATATATTTTAGGATGTGTTGGCGAACCATCAAATGAGCTGTCCTCTCAAATGTTCAATGTAATAGGATTCAACAATATTTTCTAGGTTTACATATCACAATCTAAGAATACAAATACACTACATTTTATGAACTTCATCAAAACAATAATTTTGAGAAGCAAATAAATAATTTATTAACACTTTAAATAGCATAAAGCCATACTTTTTTGGGAATAATTGCATTCTAGTCTTTCACAACAAAGTTCCTTTTAAACATTTAGTGTGACGTGTTTATGCGATTCATTTTAACTATGTGCCACAAACGTAATTGTTGTCAATTCACACTTTTCATTTGATTGATGTTACACCTCCAGTTGAGGACAGAATTGCCTCTCTGACAACGTTGCGCTTAATGTTTTATTTTGAAATTTCTGCTCGATAGTGGTGTATTGTTCTAGCTAGCTTGACCGAAATAAAGCTCATCCATTTCAACCATAATAATTACATAAATACCATATTAACTTTAGAGCCACTATGCTTAATGGGCTCCACGTCCTATTTCAATGAAACGTATGTATTTCAGTTGTCTGGCTAACAATCATAACGTTGGCTGCTGTTGCACCGCATCGCTCTGTGTAACGTTAGGCAGCTGTCAAAACTGTGCAACAGAGATAAACGAACATATCGTTCACAGGCTTTACCAAATAAGCAGATAACAGGCTGCAGGTACATCTTTCTTACATTCAGAATACCCAGTTTTAAGTGAGAACAATTAATTTCCATACATACCTTCGTTTCCCATAAATTAAAGCCAGCTAATGCTAGCCTTCGTGCAGCAGAGACTGGCTATTGTGTGAGATTTCTGCCCTCAGCGATGACTGCAAGACAGTCCCATACAGTCCCGCCCCTTTCCTGAACAACGGCCGAGTGAGGGATTTTACTCTTGTAATGATGGTTAACGCACAGAAATCTCACGTTCGTTTTATTGGTGACATATTTTAATTTGTACGTGCTTAGCAACATCTACAAGTAATTAACGTTAGGCCTACAAATATCGTACCCTGTAGTCTCTCTAGTCTATAAAATAACTCATCCAAAAGACGTTTCTATCTGTGTTGACCGGGGCATAAATAATCCTCGCAGACAAGTCGCAGGGTCAAGACAGCCCATATCGTCCGGTGACATGCCCACTGACTTCTATTGTGCTTCCCATTGGATAACAAACAAATAAATCCCCAATCAATCAGAGTTTTGCGATCAGTAATCTTGGTGCGTTTGAAATATTTCTGTAAATCCGATAATACTGGCAGATTCTTGTTATATCAATATTTATAATGTGCCTGCTTTTGGGAGCAACGTGACATGTTTTAATATTACATAGATGAACCACCACACACAATATAAATGACTATTCAAAAATCTCTGTGTGTAGCTAGTATAAACAAGTTTTGACTTCCATCTTTGAGACTGACAGAGAAATTACTTGCAACTATTTTGCTAATTGAGTAATCGTTGAAGTACTTTTTTAAGGAAGCATATCCTAGGTCCACTTGACAATAGCGAGGATTTACTGCTTTTATTTGCCTCACTGTAAACTGAGTGTAAGTCAGACTAAACAAACCATTTCATGACATTCGTTTGTATTTTAGGACCTTTTAATCAACCTTTTTAAAAACCTTTTTTAGAAAGTTTATAGGCGAGAATAAGAAGCAGAGTGACAAATAATAAAAATGTAGTTGCAGCCCTAATATGAATATCGTGGTTTCAATAAGGTTGCAGCTCATGCGAGAAATAATCCATATTCCGAATTTATCGAGAGCCCGTTAATGCACCACTGACGTATGCATGTGTCTCCCGTATGACGGCAGCGTACTGTTCGGGTGGCAGCATTTGGTTTCCTTTGTCAACAAAGCAGAAACGTCATAGCAGGCCTGGAAATAGTCCAATCCAAATGTCTAGTGGCTGACTCAGTTATTCAAGTAAACTTCCATTTAATTAACTAGAAATGCACGATAATGTGGAAAATGTATGTATAATAAATAGTGATGGAGTTGAAAAATACTATAATTTAAAAAAGTAATTCATGATCATTCTAAAGGCCAACATTAGTCATGTAGCAATATTTAAAGAATAAATCATAAATGTGTCCTTACACACATTTTGATATGTGAATCTGCCATAGACGGGTCATTTGTTCGACCAAGGCATATACTGGACATACGGTTTACTGTGGCGCCACCTACATCACCACATATGCATTTGTAATGAACCCCACCTAACACACGGTGTCACTATTATTGCTCTAGAACCACAGACAAAGCAGGCCAACATATTAGAAAAAATGTTTATTCTTTTGCTGCCCAGCACATAAACTCGTCCCACCAGCTTGTACAGACACTCGTCCTATTCCACAATAATACTTCAACGAGATAAACTAATCCAAACACGCCACAGTGTAACACAACTGACACCAGATGATGTCATGCATCGCTGTGATGAATTTCACATTAAATTATGTATCCCTTGAGCTTTATTCTTAATCTATGTGCACTCAGGAAAAGACAAAATAATAGTGTTTATATTTACAATTCTCAATGTTCCGCAGCTGTGATTTCATAAAGGGAAATGTAAAAAAAAAAAATAAAAATGCAGATAAGCATAACACTGAGCAATAAAAGGCACAGTAAGTTCACCTCTGGTTTTCAGTGGCATTTTCACCAGCTATAGTTTAGTAATGCTGAGTGGCTCCTAATTTGCGGTCAAACATCCAAACAGTGTCAACTCTCATGGCACAGCCGTCCCCCCTTTTCAGTAACCGCTGTCTCTCTCCACGCAGCCCACACCCACCGCGTTGTTGGGACATTTGCAGGAGCGGCCGTTGGGGGTCGCTAAACAGAGGTGAGTACAGCCCCCGTTGTTCACGGCACAGTAGTTTTGTCCTGGAGGAAGTAAAAAAAACAACAACATACAAACTCTTATTAATGTGGGACATTCCAGGACATTTGTATAAATCATAAGCCAGCGTAGCAAGGAACCGGCAGGAAACCGTCTCTTCACTGTTAGTTCAACAGATATACACATACTTAGAGGGAACACATAGCAAACTCCAGATGTTGGAGGCCCCTCTCCCTTGACTCCACATTCCCTGGCTTTACGCATGCAGCCTTATCTAGAAGAGACGAAGGGGCCTGGTGCTGCGCAGTAACATCAGTCATCCCTTTACTTCATGATGAATACTAGCTGCAGAAAGCCTCGTGTTGCTTTCAGAAGCTGCCGTTCTTCTTTTTTCTGCATTCAGAGTCCTTTACAAGAGGGCACAAAACTGGGCTGCTACGTCCGGAAGAGTAGAGGGAATGGATAATAAGGCTGGCTCAAAGGTAGCCCCCTAAATGTACAAGGGTCAAGCTATTTCTAGGAATGGCTCTTTGTGGGACTGGGAGTGTTTTCTCAGTAATTGCTCGGTAAATAATACAATCAGTAAACATTTTTAAGGCTTCAAGAGCAAACATTTTAAGGGGAATTCACAGGGAAGTATATGGCCCTGTTCCCAACTGCTATGTTTACCTGACGGACACTGTGCGTAGGCTGTGGCGATCCCATATATCTTGGTCCGTTTCTGAGGCTGGAACTCGTCTGACTCCTTGCCCGAATGGCGGTCCACTGCAACCACGGCATCCCTGTCGTGAACACAATAAGCGCAAGAGTTTAGCGATCCGTGAGGATCCCAGCTTGAGAAATGTGAGCATCACCTTGCCTCCCCTCGTGTTTCGTGGAAAGTCTGTCAAGAATGAGTCAGGGTTAGTGAAGCTTTCTGAGCCATAACTGACATAGTTTGAGTGCCTCCCCCACCGCCACCTCTCAACCTTCTCCAGCAGGGCTACAGCCTCGCAAGATCAGAGGGAGGCCCTGGGCAGGTCACTCACAGACGCTGAGGTGGAGAAATTGCAAGCAGCTGTCACTTTTTAGGATGCTTACACACACACACACACACACACACACACACAAATAGACACCCCAACCCCCGCATTTTTGCAGTGGCTAACATACAGAATGAGCCGCATAGGAAGAAAGAAAGCTCCACAGTCTTCAGAGAGGTCTGGAAGAACATCAAGGGCCGGTGCTTGAAGGGCGGGGAGCTTTATGACCTCTGACTTAACCTCTCCTTCCTCTACTTTGACTGATCTGAGTTCTTACATTGCACAGTGCACCATGGATAAAGGCTGGATTATATCCTTCATTCTATAAATTCCAATGTCTGCTAATTTAAAACCATCCACATTACATCAAGGTACTCGAGAACTGGCTAAAGCCCAACCACTAAATATGCGTGTAATAACCTTTAATCATTATCTAGGCATTACACATGCAAACATAAATCATTGTCAGGTTTAATTCATTGGAATACTTAGGGAATTTTCTTTTAGTTACATCTCCTATGTTGTCAATGGATAAAAAACTACAGAAGTGTTCATGACAGTAGAAGAAGTCAAACCTCCGCCAGTCAGTGTAGTAGATGTTCTTCCCATAAGACGTGATTCCAAAAGGGTACTGAAGCCCCTCCAGGACCTTCCTGCGGTCGCCGTGGCCCGGATGCGTGCACTCCAGTTTGTGTGTGCCTACAGAGGAGAGATTACTGCTGATGAGAGGCCAGACATCATTTCATTGATGAGTCATCCGTCTGAAATCTACAGTACCTGCGTCTGCCCAGCAAAGCAGAGAGCTCTGAGAGTCGTAAGTCAAGCCATTGGGCAGGCTGAGGTCGTCTTTGACCAGCACCCTCCTGTTGGATCCATCCATGTAAGAGGTCTCGATCTTGGGGGCATCGCGGTTCCAGTCGGCCCAGTAAAGATTACTGCAAGGACAGGTGTGGTGTCAGTTCACCATCAAACTCCACAGATTCTTTTATCAGATCTTTTAAATTACTGGCAGGTTTTAACATAACACTAATTCAAATCGTAATGTTACTCTTCTGTCTGTAAATTAGTTTCTTCAACAGCAAAGTTGTTGCCAAGCTTTCCGTGAGTGCCGGGGACCGACAATGTAATGTTTATACAAACACTAATGCTATCCAGATGTATAGTTTAATCTTTTGGGACATATGCTCTTTCGCTTTCTTACCGTGAGTTAGATGAGACGATCAATAACGCTCTCATATCTGTCCTTTCAGTATAAAACTACAGGCAGCAGCCGGTGAGCTGAGCTTAGAATAAAGACTATAAGCAGGGCTCTGTTCAGAGGTAACAAAAGTCATTTAGTCACTAATTACTATTTCATATCTCGTTTGTTTAATCCGTACAAAAAAAGTGTTGTTCTATGTGGTTTGGATATCAGAGTATTATTGATCTCAGCAAGAAAGCAAATAAGTGTAATCCCAAAAATGTTGAGCTATTCCTCTAAATCTGAACCTCCTATCAGACAATTCTACTTTAAAAAGTTCTTACAAAACGTTACAAAGTTACTCAGCGATTGGTATCTGAGTTGCAGTTTGACGAGTTTAACGAGCAGGTAAAGGGTAAAAGTTTTATGTGAAACAACACCCACCCATTGGGAGGGTCGGTGATAATAGCGCGAGGGTTGACGAGATCAGAGTTTATAATGACGCGACGCTGGGACCCGTCCAGAGAGGCCACCTCGATGTGATCCTTCACGGAGTCCGTCCAGAACATAGTCCGTCCCAAGTGGTCGATGGCGATACCCTCTGGGCTGTCCAGATCTGTTGAGAGGATACATTTTGCACATCAGTTTCTTTGTCTTATGAAAGCAGCCTCCTGGTTCACAGCTGGCTGAAAGTGAAAGTATAAAAGTGAAGTGTTACCTGATCTAATGACTGCAGTGGGCTCTCCCCCCTGGATGCT